CTTGTCCCAGCTCCCGCCAACCTAGCGGTTCGAAAGCATGCAAATGCGAGTAGATTAATAGGGACCACCTTGGTGGGAAGGTAACAGCGTTCCGTGTCTAAGTCGCACTGGCCATGTGACCACGGAAGATTGTCTTCGGACAAAACGCTGGCTCTATGGCTTGGAAACGGGGATGAGCACCGCCCCCTAGAGTCGAACACGACTGGACAAAAATGGTCAAGGGGAACCTTTACCTTTACCTATGGCTCCTTGGCTACAGTTTCCCAATAGCAGGAATAGCTAAGCAAACCCAAAGCTAACAAGAATGCAAACACATGTTGTTAGATCCGACTCCAAACTTGTTCTCAAACAAGCCAGAAAACAGAAACCAATTAACCCTAAGGGAAGAAACAACCCAAAAGTCATAGTTCAGATGTACCTCTAAGTTTTTGCTTCCTATTTGGTTTAGCTGCTTTTTCTGGGCGGAGGGAGAAATAAAGTGGGAATCATCATGCAACATGTAGCAGTGTGCTGCTTGTGAGCTACAAACAAGAATTCCCTACCGTTCTGCTGCCTGCAATGTATGAATGCATCCAGTGGCTTGGCGAGTCATTTACTGAATCACGACTGACCAGAGATTTGAACCTAGGCCTCTGTGATCTAAGATCAGCATTCTAGACACCACCCATACCACAATGACTGCAACTGTAGTGTTCCTGAATTATGAATGGGCATGTTTCAGTGACATTTTCAGCAGGCTTAATCATCTCTTGTAAACTGATCCCTAATTATGTTCACACTGCATATACACAATTACTGTTGTTTATGAAAGCCTTCAGGAGTTCAAAGTTTTCATAGTTCTTGTATCTCCAGAAGCAAAGCTTTGGAGAAAAGGAGGCACATGGCACATACGCACCATAACCATTTTTTCTTAAAGCCTATTTTTGAGTACAAAATGAACTGACCAGCATACATCGCTTGCTTTGATCTTTGGAAACAGTGTGGGACAAAATGATCAAAATGAATCTGTTCCTCCCCGGGGCTAACTTTCATAAGCAATCAATCAGCAAAGGTCAGCCGTGGCAGAGTTAGCCGGGGTGCCTAAGTACACACCATCCTATGCAAAAGATAATAAACGTCTGTGCTGAATTGTAGATTTCTAAGTAAAATCTAGAAATAATTGCATCTAAAGAGCAATACAAAAAACACCTCAGCATAAAAGGAAGGATTGTGACAAGATGTCCCATGTGGCTGCTCAGCCTTTGGTCCATGTGCCAACTGCTGAGGGGCAACTATGAGGCCCTTGCTCTCCCCTTTTTTATAATATTTTATCTTTAAAACAGACCTGGACATTTTTGAGATGAAGCATTTGTATCACCATTTGCGCTACAGTAGAATTTTTCTCAATGTCCAACCAATGTCCCTCCTATCTTATTTTGTATTGATTTCTTCCTGTGTTGTCAGGCCTTTTTCACTCTTTCCCAAATCCTTGGTTACTCCCCACACACACACACACACCCCGTTCCCAAGGAGTGGAGCTTAGCTTTATAACGCTAACCAATGATTCCCACAATAACACACAATGAGCCCAACGAACCAACAGTTAACAGAGCACAAGGAAGCACTCAGGATCTGTCCTGAATAATAGTGGGCACTTGACTAGACACTTGCAAGAGCAAGTAAATTGCTTAAGCAGAGAAAGCAGTTCAGTGCTGGATCACCTACTCTCAGGACACAACTCTCGAAGCAACAAAAAAGAGAGCAAAATTTAAAGCCCTTCTAGAGGACTTCTTGAACCAGAAAGTCCCTCTAACAGATGATGTCATCATGAACATGCTATCTGGTGCTATACACTACTACCAACGGTGGGAGTCCTTGCCCAGAAGTAGGAATTTAATTTGAAGTGCTATAGAATCATAGAAAAGTGAAATTGGAAGGGGCCTGCGAGGCCATCAAGTCCAACCCCTATGGCTTTAGTCTCCTTCTGACGTCTCCAAAGGAGGAGGATCTCAGGATGGGGAACCCATCAAGGCACAGGTGAAAGTTTGCTTGGCTTGAGAGTTTCTTTCACTACCCCCTCCCCCCGTGACTTCCTTTCATGAGGCCACCAGACTCCTAAGTCCTAAGGCACCAAGTACAGTGAAGTACAAGCAGCTTGTCACAATATCAGGGACATTCTTCCTCTCTGGTAGCAGTCTGGACCCATGCTTTACCTATACCACAGAGGGCTGTCACCATCAGTTATGATTTATTCAATTTTTAGGCTTCAGATTGAGTTGTCTGTGCCTTTTTAATTGGGATAGTGGTGATTTGTTTGGGCTTGGTTTTTACTTTCTGTCTGTTCTTTATGTTTTCTGTGTACGAGCAGCCAGAGCGGTGGATTTTCATTACGTGGGGTCATATACAAATGTAAGTAAGTAAGTAAGTAAGTAAGTAAGTAAGTAAGTAAGTAAGTAAGTAAGTAAGTAAGGAAGGAAGGAAGGAAGGAAGGAAGGAAGGAAGGAAGGAAGGAAGGAAGGAAGGACAGGTTGTCCCCTGAAATCTGAAGCATCACGTCTTTGCTCAATACACAAGCCCCCTGCAAACCAGAAATCATCTGTCTCTGCAAAGCAAGCCACCACTACAAATTAAGCATCACCCTCTACTGTCAAGAAGTCACCACTCATATCCTCTCAGGCTTCACACCCTGATTTTTCACAAACTACAGCTGAAATCTCAGCCTCTACCCTTTCATCCTAGCATCTGAACCTCAGGAAACTGAGCAGGTCCAGTCCTGAAACAAAGTTTGGGATGCTGGCAGAGTGATCAGCCAACATCACACTGTCAGTCCTCCATCTGTAGAACTTGCTGCAAATGTTACTACTTTCTCTTCCTCTTCAAATCTGGATCTCCCAGGTGGATTCCAGAATCTGACACCATTACATAGTATTTCTAGAACTCACCAATTACCTCTTTTTA